CATTCCCCGAAGTGCTCCATAATTAGGACGTCATTATACATTACTGTACCGAGTAGCAAAAGCATCCTGTGTGTTACAGCACCGCATGTAGGTGCACTAGCAGGCTACACGTCACACTGTCACCTGTGCACTAGATAACATAATTGTTCCAGGTAACTGAGGCGCAGAGAAATTAAATAGCTTGTCTAGAATTGTGCAGCCAGTAAAAGCTGGAACTTGGGTTTAGATCCGGTACCCTGTCCCTGGATGCAGAAGTCAACAATTTTATTAACAGTAGAATATGCCTCCCTCATCTGATTCCAACTCCCCAAAAATAATCGCTATTCCCATTCTGGTCTTTGTCCACCTGGACTTTTTTTTTTTTTTTTTTGAGACAGGGTGTCACTATGCAATGCAGGCTGGCCTTGAGCTCACTTTTCAGCCCAGGCTGGCCTGAAACTTGCAAAGGTCCTTCTGCCTCAGCCTCCTCAGAGCTGCGATTGCAGGCATGAGCCACCACGCCTGGCCTCACATAGACTCTTTCTCCTCTGGTTGCACACAGAAATGAGCTCATGTTAAATATGTTATTTACTTGACTTGCGCTTGTCACCTAATATATCTGGGAGCTCCTTTCCTATCAACAAGTATGGGCTGGGAACATAGCTCAGCGGCATAAGCACTGACTGGCAAGCTCAAGGTCCCAAGTTTGACCCCTGAAAAAGTATGTTTGTACTTTCTTCTTTACTATCTACACAGAATGGTGTGGTATCGCATAATTTACTTAATCAGCTCACAGATGTTTAGAGTTGACTCTTGCAATTTTGAATTACACACCATACTTATTAAAATATTTGGAGAAAATATATTATCAGCGTGGGTCGTCTTCACAGGACACTCATGTCTGTTGAGACATTAATGTTTGGTGGAGTATCAGGAAGTGAATCTGAATACTGCAAAAGCTTTAGTAAGCTTAGTCAGTTTAACTTGTGACCCAATTCTCTTCTGGCCCAAGGTCCCTGTCTTGTAGCTGACTTCATCTCTAACCCATGGCCTGCCCCGGACCTTCATACTGTTGCAAAAATAGATAGAAATATTCTAGGCAGTCAGACAGGGCCAGGCCCTCGAAGGACACAGCACAGAAGACAAGATACCTTGCAACTGTGGGAGGGATGAATGCTTCTGCTGTGAGCCAGACCTGAAGACCAAAGAGCAAACAAATGCTGACCTCCCTAAAGATTGGCATCTGGGATTGATCATTACCCTGAGAAAGCCAGGAAGAACCATTATCTGATGGCTACCGGATAAAGTCCTGTTCTGCATTCATGCCCGCTTGCTACGTGACTCCCTTCCCCATTTGGTCCTGGGCTCAGTCAATTTTACCTGAGCAATGGTGCTTGTAATCCCATGGGTTGACCATAGCTTTGTCCCACCCCACATCCACCTAAGCGAGCTCCCCCTTTCTCCACCTTAGCCTCACATGGTTTTACACTATACAAGTCCCTAGAAGAGACAGCTTCCTGGAAACAACCCGCTCCCCCTCAGGCCCCCCTCCAGTCCTTCTCTCAGACAAGAGCTTTCTTTCCCTCAATAAATATATTCTGCTCATAACCTCCATTTGTTCCTAAAATTCATTCTTCTGTTTTAGAGAACAGGAAGTGAGGTTCAGGTCGAGAAATCATTCTTGCAGGTTCAGGTCGAGAGATCATTCTTCCCCTATATCATTTGGAGGTTCCCTGTATCATTTGGAGGTCACCCACCCAAGATCTGTTTTTCTTCCTGTATCAGTACCATTGCCACAACCCCAAAGATCTCGATCCCCGACACAGCAGAGCTCCAACCCCAGGGACCAGAGCAATCTGGGGGCCCACGCTTTCACACCCAGGGTCCACTTTGTTGATCTCAAGTTCTGGCTGAGTAGATCCAGCTCCTTCCCGCAGGGCAGACGGCACCGACCTCCAGTGAGCAGCGGAAGGGCTCAAGATCCAGCCAACACCGGCTTCGGAGACATCAGAGGCCACCAGGCAGTGACAGCAAGATGAATACGGACTTGGATGACACAAACTTACATGTTTTGCTGAAGGACAGCATGAAGTTTTGAGGTATTTTTGATGACTTTCTCTTGGTATCAGCCAGAATTTTCTAGACTGAAACCCCACCAAAGACAGGAGCACTAAAAGCCCAGCTTACAATGGCACAGACACAGGAGGGCACCGTGGGCAGAGCAAGGGGCTGGGGGATCCCAGCCAGGGAGGGAGCGCCGCGGCAGAAGAACCAGACAGGCAGCAGGGAGGAGACAGGCGGGTGTGTGGCCCTGGGGAGGCCTCCCGAAGGGCTGAGGGTTTACATGAAGAGCTTTTATTTCAAAATCTCTTGGTCTTCGTCTGTTTTTACCCACATGCAAACCAGAAGAGGTTTGTTCTTTTTACTGATGTGAATACGCTCGGTACAAGTCCTGGGCACAAGGCTTTACTCCTGCACGCCCTGCCCGCTTCCGGCCCTTGTCTGTGTCTCACCTTTTCCGTTATTCCTGGCATCTTCTTTTGCACCAAAGGTTCCCACTTGCACAGAGTCAAGCCTGGTACCTCATCTACCTTTAAGGTCTGCACTCTGGCGTCCTTCTGTATGCCGAAGTTATAAATGTTTGTCTAAAGATTCTCCTGTTTGGCTAGTCACACATATCTAGGTTCATAACCCCCCTAAGATTCGTGTTTGTTGAGATGTAAGGGAGGAGAGCCTCTGTGTTTGTTCCACCACCCGAGAGATGGCTGCGGCAGCCGCAGTAACTATTCTGATCTCTGCTCATAGCTCAGATCCGGGCTGGCTCGCATCGCGCTTTGCACATACATGGGTCTGTTCCTCTCCTCCGCCCATCTCTGTTCCAGGATGGCGCAGTGATTACTGCTTCCAGCAAGTCTGGTTTCTGGTGAGTTAACTCCATCTCGATTCCCTGGTGGCCTTGTTCCCCCTATTTTTCTCTCCTTTGTGTTTTGATTTTTTTGTTGTTGCATAACAAACTATCAAAAGACTAAATAGATTGCGAAAGTACCACTGAAAAGTAGAGGAGTTGATGGCTAACATAGTGTATCACACACACCCCACTCCGTGAATTTGGGGGTGCTGCTTACAGGAGATTCAAACATGGTGGGACCCCAAGGGCTAAGACAGCACCCCTCTCCCCTTCTCCTCTTTGGGCACCTCCACTGTGGGACCTGGTGGGGCACTGAGTAGGAAGAGGTGCTCATTCCTGAGGTCACAGCTCTGGAAAGGGACTTCTGGGCCTCAGGGGACAGCAGGAGCATTCCTGTCCCTGGAGCAGGTGCAGGGAGGGAAGAAGGAGCCCAAGTCCTCTTATCCAGAGCTACTAGATAAGAGGAATAATGGAGGACTCACTCCCCTGAAGGCCTAATCCAGATCCTCTAGGCCGCACAGAGATTTTCTCACAAAATGTCACAGAAGTTCACTGTATCCAGCAAGCAAGGAACAAAGCACAGAGCGTAAGGCAGCTGGCTCCTTGTAACTCCCGCAAGCTGGAGACCAGGTAGGAACAGATTCCTGGAGGCAGCGTCCTGCCTGCTCCTTGTTCCTTTACCTGGGAAGTTACCAACTAGTAATCTGTAAACTTAGAGTGGGATGAATGCCGGAAGGCAACATAGATAGCAGTTTTTTGTATTGTTTTGTTTGGCAGAACCGGGGATTGAACTCAGGCCCTTGCACTTGCCAGGGAAAGGCTTATTCCACTGAGCCATCTCCCCTGCCCTAGATAGCAGTTTGTTTACACCAAATTAGTTATGCACATTCCTTAGCCTATTTGTGGTCCTCAATAAATGTGAGAAGCTTGGGGTTCACTTAGAGAAAACTGATCTCGGTGAGACCCTGTGGCTGATTTCATCCAGCCTTGACTGTCCAACGACAGTCCCACTGGGTCATTATTCACACTTCTACCCAAGGAAAGCATGCGCACGTGCACACACACAGACCCCCCACCCCCACAGATCCAAAGGGGACCCAGAAGCGTAGTGCTCACCCCTGTGGAGCCTGAGGCTCACGATTTACTAGCTATGTAACCTTGGGAAATTTCTTCACCTTTCTGAGCCTCGATATCTCCCTCTGTACAGTAGAGGAAGTGTTTCACTCAGAGGCTGCTCAAGCCATGACTCAGCATGGCCCACGTGATGGCTCCGACCTGTCGGCTGTGTACACCTAACCTCAGGAGCCCCAGTCCTGGGTCCAGCGCCTGGCTGCCTTAACCCCTTGCTCATGAATGTGGATTAGTGAGCTCCAGGAGCACCAGAGAGAGCGAAGCCCTAGGGCTTTGGCACCCACGCAGGGCTCCTGGTGCTGCAGAGACCCAGAGTGTGCACCTGGGGAAGATAAAGGCAGGGGCGCCCTCAGCATGTGGGCCCAGAGCACAGGTGGGGAGAGTCCTGAAGGACCAAGACCACACAAGTCTTCAGAGGAGTGCTAGGACCTCCTCAGATCAAGGTTGGAGGCAAGGTTGGGGGCTCAGGTGCAGGTCGCCGGCCTCTAATGCGCAGCTCTAGATTCCAGGAAGGAGGCACTTCCAGCAGCACAGGGCAGAAAGTCCAGGAGCCAGGGCAACACTCAGAGAGCCCGCTCCCTCCCTGTGCCCACCTCCCCCAACCCAAATGCTGGCTCCGCAGGTATGGCCTGAGTCTCCATGGAGCCCCAGGCTGGGGAGAGAGCCTCAGCCCCATTTGGAGACCCTGGTAGACGGATAGTGGCAGCAAGGATGTCACAGCCAGGGGTGACAGAAGCTTCCCTGACTTCCCACCCTCCTGTCCACTTGGCCTAGAGTTCCCGAGTTGAGTTCTGTCATTTCTAGGAAGCGGGGAATTCAGAATGGACTTGGATTGGGCAGGAGGGGTCCCTGAGTCCAAGCTGCACGAAGGAGGCAGTGCCGATGCCAGTGGTGGGTGGATTAGTCTCCACAGAGGAAGCTGTGTGTGCAGCTGGAGTTTCAGGAGACATCCAGGCAGTGGATGGTGCCTGCGGCCCAGCCCTCTGCCTGGCAGGGTGGTGGGAATCCCTGACAGTTGAGGAGGCAGCACCAGGAGACCAGCAGCAAAGGAGTTTTCTGGGAATGGGGCCAAGCCCCTGCCTGGCTTCCAGGCTGCAGAGGCAGTGACAGAGGGACTTGCACAAGCCACCAGGCACCCATACCCTGGCCAGGAAGGAAGTGGCAGGCACTGAAGGAGCAGGGGCCCCCATCCTATTGGACTCTCTCCTGGGAGCGTCTTCACAGGCCTAGACAACCGAGCAGGGCCGGACACCCTCTGCTGTGCTCAGAACTCCCCTCTCCTGCTCCTGCCTCCACTCCCTGCAGCAGGACGCTGGCCCTGACCAGCCTGGTCACATCGGCTATGCGCAGTCACCTTTTGGTGGGCACAGTAGCTTTATACAGGGAACGCCCGAGCAGTACCTGCTGCCCAGTGGACCCCGCCAGCCTTCACTTCCTGGGCTCTCCCTCAAGGGCAGGGTGTGCTGAGGGCTGGGGCCTGCGTCCAGCAATGCTGGCGTATTCCACAGACAGGAAACGGCTATCGTAGTCAGTGGGGTCCTCGGTGCCAGAGTGACTTAGGTGAGTGAGGGAGGCATAGTGGACAGTCCCGGTGTCCTGGTCAGAGGGGACTGGATGCTCAAAGTCCTAGGAATAAAAGCAGGCAGACAGAAGTCTGCTGTACAGGTCACAGCTGCGGCCCTTGGACACCTCTGGGAAGGGGGACCCGGAAAAAGCTGCCTTCGCCCCAGGGAAGGTGCCTAAGGAAGCCAGGCGGCCAGTGGTACCGGCAGCTTACAGCTTGTTCCTAACCCAGAACCAGCGCCAGCCCAGAGAACCTAGAGTGGCCCCAGGGAGCCCTGTTCAACAACCTCGCCCAGTGAATTCTTTACACACCCAAGCAGGAAAAACATTGAGCGAGTGTTTGGGAGCAGGGGTAGCAGGGGTAGCATGGGATTGCTCACGGCCTGACACTGGGGGTCAGATCACAGGACACCAGTTCCTTGTAGCCCTGTGATCCACATCTCGAGGCCTTCGGGACCCTGGACGGGACAGACCCAGCCAAGGGAAACCGCCGAGTTCCTAGCAGAGAGGGCACTCTGAGGACCTTTCTGTGGGCCGAGTGATTAGCCAACATCTGTCTATCGCACGCTGGCATTGGGAAATCTAGGCAAGCAACTGTGTGGTCAGGCCACAAGGCTGCAGTGGCACAGGCAGTCATGAGTGTGTGTGTCAAGATTTAGGGTAAATCGAAGCTGCAGGCTGGGGAACTGAAACAGGATGGGGACCAGGAACTCTGCTGCACTGTGTCCCAGCAGGGGATGCCGCTACTCACAGCGCTCTCCTTTGGGGCTGCAAGGTCCTCATAGACGTGGTGGACATCTCTCTCGCCTGTGAGAAAGTCAAGGTCAGGGGCAGGTCATCCTTAGATCTTTCCACTCACTCATCCTCCACGTCTGCTACTCCATATCTTTTGACCTATGTCTCCCCTTCTCCTCCCCCACACCGAGGAAGACAACATTTTATAATGAGAGCAGGTGTCTGAAATGCCATTAACCGGAAAGATCTATGGAAACTCATTCAAAAGTCCTTAACTTTAAAGCTGGCTTTGCAGTCTGCAACCCACAGTGGATCCAAGCACGCCTGGTTGTAGGCAAGCAGGCATGGACAAAGCTAGTTGACTTTCAGGAGACTCACCGTTCCCAGCTCCTCCACCTTTCTGGGCTCCTCCTTGGGCTCTCCGGAGGTACAGGGCCATGAGCACGCTGAGGCCCAGCAGCAGCAGCAGGAGGAGGATGGCCACCACCACGCCCACCACGACCCCCTTCCACTGCCAGCCACCTGGAGGACTTAGGGACAAGGAGTGGTGGGGAGGAGTCAGCCCAGTCTCACTGCCTGTGGTCACAGCAGGCCTCCTGGCTTCCTGCCTCTCCTGGAGCACCCAGCAGGTGCTGGCTGCCTGTCCCTTTCCCATGGTGGTCCCCAGATTTCCTTCTGCTGCTGTTGAAGACTCTGCACCCTCCCAGCCTCCACTCCTCAACCAATCCTCACCCAGCTGCTGCTGCCCGCTCTGCTCCGTGAGCTTTGCACTCAGCCCTTAGGGCTCACATCCAGAGGACCTGCCTAAGGCTGGGCATAGGGGCGCACACCTCCAACCCCAGCACTCTGGGAGGCCAAGGGCAGAGGACTGAGCCCAGCTGGGCAACTTCATAAAAAAGGTTGTAAAGGCTGGGATGTAGTGCAGTGCTAAGGTCTTGGGTTAAATGCCCAGGACTGCAAAGAAAAGAAAGAATATCTCTCAGCAAAGGAAGGACACAAAGTGCATAGTCTCTTGTCTTTGAAGACACTTAAGGAGGGTGTCAGGCCCAGAAGGGAAGAGGGGTGCTTCCAGCAGTAATTTTCAGCTCAGTGAATCACTACTACCTGGTTACTGGCTTGTGTATTGGTTTGTTTTGGCTTGGCTTGCTACACAGTCCAGACTGACCTTGAACTCACTATGTAGCCTGGGCTATGTTGATCTTCCTACCTCAACTTCCTGAAAGCTGGGGAAACAGGGACCTCCCACCATGCTTGCCTTGGTGGCTTTATCCCTAGATAAGAGACTATTTTCACAGGGGCCCAGGGTTCCAGATCTGTAGAGGTAGTGGGTAGAGAGGATCAGACAGCAGCGGAGGGCCTGGGGCCTGGAGAGTCAGGCAGTGATGGGAGGAGTCAGGCTGCGGGTGTGGTAACTCAGGCTATGCCTGCTCCCTAGACCCCCACGATGTGGCCTTGTGGCTGCCCTGGGCTGGGTCACCAAATCCAGGCCGATCCTCATAGCAACTAGGAAGACAGGGCTTGTGAGGGGGGCGACCTGGTCTCACAAAGCCCCTCTGGCAATGTCTAGGGGCACTTGGGGGCCACATCAGGAGGAGGAGGTTTGTGCTCCTGGCATCCAATAAGGGAAGGCTGAGTACTGTGCCCAGCACCCAACAATGCAGAGTAGCACCCTGGGACAGAGAAATCAGCTGGCTCCCAATGTCCACACGGCCGAGAGTGACAGACGTTGAGCTAAGAGGGGGAGGTTGCTGTTCCCCTTTTGCAGATGAGAAAAAGAGGCCAAGGAAAGTGACCCAAGGTGACCTGTCTGACCCCAACTCCATCCGCTGGGAGTTGGTGTGTCTGTCTGAGTGGGAATTGAGGCATCAAGCACAGCGAGAGGAAGAGATGGAGGGCGGGGTTGGCAGTACCTGTCAGTAGCTGGGCTGGAGGCAGAGGCTGGGGCTGGGACTGTCATGGTCCTCGGAGTGCTCCTGGTGGGATGTAGGGTTGGAGCTGTGAGAGATGACAATTAGTGGGGTGTGGGTCTGCTGCCCCCCACACCTGGGTAGCAGGAGCCCATTCCTGGCCCTGGAAGGCCATGTGGACAGGGCACTGAGCCCAATCTGGGGCAAAGAATGACATTGGAGCACCATGAGCCAAGCAGCCGCGCAGGCTCAGCACCGCAGAGTCTGGGGCTGCCTCCAAGTTTGGGCCATCACAAGTAAATTCAGGGAGCCCGACAGCTCCGCAGCTCTCAGAAGGAGCGCACTGAAGCCTCCGGGCTGGACGGGCCCCAACCTTGCCATTGTGAAGCTTAAAGGCTCTCCAGGGTTAGGGCTCAGCCCCTGAGTCTCAGGTCTACCTCTCTGTCCAGCTGGCCCTGTCCGTCTACATGCCCCCCCACCCCTACTGGCCCTGTGGTCCCCAATCTGTGCAGTGGACCCCACAGTCCTCTGACTGTTGAGCTCAGGGTCAGGGTACAGTGCCCAAGAATGGACCTTCACGCACACAGCCATGCTAAAGTGTGGGGAAGTTCTAAGAGCTCTCTGAGCCAATGCAGGAGGCCTGATGGCAGCCACACATGTGTTCAGAGGAGCCTGCAGTGAGGAAAAATGAACCAGAAACTGGCAGGCCGGAATTCCAGAGCTGGTTCTGCTCTTTGCCAGCAGGCCACCTCCAGCCTCAGCCTTCAGCCAGCAGAGGGCGGGAGGGAAGGACTTCTAGGGTCCTGAAGGCTGAGCCCAAGTAAGACACACACAGACTCACCTTTAGACACCGTCAGGTGCACGATTTTGAAACTGTAGAACTGATCTTCAAGGAATCCACAATGATAGGATCCCGAGTCCTGTACTCTGAGCTCGGTCATGGTGACCTCAAAGCTGTACTTGAAATCCTTGATGGAACATCGTGAATCGAAAGTCTGACCACTGGTCACTAAGACGTCACATACCTCTGTTGGCCTTTGTCGACACCAAGCTTTCACCCGTCTTCTTCCATGTGTGCCGTGCTCACAGCGCACAGAGAGCGTCTCGCCCTCCTGCAGTTTTAGAAGCTCCCAGCACTGGGCCCAGGCACCTGTGGATACATACGCAGGTCAGGAGCCCCCAGCTTTCTCACAGGGGTGGGTGGTGGGGCTTCCCTCCTTGAGGAGCCATAGTCGTGGTGGTGACACTCAGGATGTAGCCCAGAGCCCTGCATGGTGCAGTCTCTTGGGCGCACATGCCCTCTCCCCATCCCCACCAGGTGCCCACTCTCCCCACCCTAACCCCTGCTCCTCACCTAAGGTCAGGAGCACCAGCAGCACAGGGCACAGCAGGCATGGGGCCACCTGGGCCATGGGTCCTCTTCCTAAGAAGGGTGAGGGCAAAGGAGCCCCAAGGAGAGCAGCCAGCTGTCCCAGGCCTTAGGGGTGAGTTGTCCACCACAGGGGCCTCTGTGGCCCAGCAGGAAGACTTAGGAGGACAGAGAGGCCTCCAGTGGCTGGGTTCCCCCCTGGGGGTGGGACTTCTGCTCCCCTGGGTCCAGCCTCTTCCCCTCACCAGGCCTCCTCCTTCCCCTTGGGGTATAATGGGGAAGCTGAGAAATCTAAGGAAACCATGGTGAAACCTATTTCTCCTTCTACACTCCAGGGTACCACTTTCTGGGCTCTCAGCTCCTCTCCATCACCACCATACACCCCAAAGCTCAGTGCCAAACTAGGGGACCTAGGAGCTCTGACAAGGGTCCTGCCTCCCACTGGTCCCCCGGGGTCAGGGGCTGCTCCCCAAAACAGTTCCCATATAGAGTCATTTCCAGGAAGGGCCCTGGAGGAGAGAGCTAAAGTGAGGAAGGGGAGGGGAGGACAGGGACCAGGGAGGGACTGCAGAGGAGGGGAAGACAAGGGGAGCTGTCCCATACTCCGGCTCCCTCTGGAAGCACGCACAGAAAGGCTGAGCTAATGAAGCACTTGGTTACAGAGGTAAGGTGAGCTATGGAGACTCACAGGGTGTTCCTGTGGACCGAGAGCCCCAAGACAGAGCCGTTGCGCTCTCCCACTAAGAGAGCCACATGCCTGGCCTGTCTTCTGCCCTGCTCACTCTGCCCACAAAGCAGCTGGACTCTCTGAGCTGGGGCAATGGTGAGGATAGGAAAGAGGGAGCAACTGTCCGCAGAGGGCAGTGTGGAACCCCGAGGCCCATAGTAGGTGGGAGATGGGCTCGGCACCCACAGCTCCCCCAGCTGCGTCTCCCACTGGCCGGCTGTGTCTGCCCTGTTGGCCCCTGCCAGGGTTCCCTGATGTGGTGGCCTGCATGGTCCCTGAACCCACACTCTTCCCAAGCCTGCAGGATCCCCAGGGCTTCCCTCTCTGGAGGACTTGACCCCTTCCTGTCTCCCACGCTATGGTCTCTGCCCTGGTCCAAGTGCAGGCTGTACCTGACCAGGCTGAAACTGCCTCCCTCAGAGCCCTGAGCCCACGTGGTCAGGTCTGCATGCCTCCCTTCCCTGAGCCCTGGTTGTCCCCAAGGCTGAGCTGTGTGCAAGCCACAAGACGTATTCTGTGGAGAGAGCAGTGCAGCTCAGGTGAAGGCCCTGGGTCCAAGCCCTGCTTCACCCTCCTCCAGGTGAGGAGACAGGACCAGAGAGGACAGTGACTTGTGATAGTCACTCTGAGACCAGAGCTGTGCCCAGCTTTGAACTCAGTCCTCTAATTCAGCATCATCACCCAGCCCTGTACCTTCACCCCTCCCAGGACCCTCACCAAAGGGGCACCAGGGTCCATATACTGAGGAGATGGGAGGAAGGAGGATGCAGAAACAGGGTCTCCAATGCTGAAGGGGTAAATGATCATATGGAACTGTGGTCAGCAGCTGAATTAGACAGACATATTATAGGCAGTCAGAGAGTGCCAGACTCTAAAGGAGACAGTATGAAAGACAAGATGAATTTGCAACCTTGGAAAAGACAGATATTCCTGTTGTGGGCCAGGCCTGAAGACAAAAGATTAAACAGGGGGCGGTCAGATAGCTCAGCAGACTAAAGCACCTGCTTAGGTAGAGCACAGTGGCCAAGTTTCGATCCCAGTCGTGCGGTGCCAGCCCAATCTCCAGGGCGCACTGAGATAAAATTGAGACTGGCCATGGAGGCACACACCTATAATCCCTGCTTTTGAGAGGCTGAAGACAAAAGAATCACTATGAGTCCGATCTATGAAGTTAGACCCTATAGACTCTGTAGGCCCTGTAGACCCTGTAGATCCTGTAGACTCTGTAGGCCCTGTAGACCCTGTAGATCCTGTAGACTCTGTAGACCCTGTCCTAAATACACTATTTTTTAAAAAAGAGTAAATAAATGCAACTATATACTTCCCTAGGGATGGGCATCAGGGATTGATATTCTACACAGGTACCAATCATCTTGAAAGAGCCCAAATAAGTCACTAACCCAACCCCCAACAGGAAAAAACCCTGTCCAGTAGTCATGCCTGCTTGCTACATGACACTCTTCCTTGTTTGGTCCTGGATTTAATCAATTTGACATGATCAATAGTGCTTGCAATCTCATTGGGTGACCATAGTTTTGTCCCACCTCATGCCCACATAAGAGAGTTCCCATGTTCTCTACCTTAAATCTGCCTCACTGCATGGTTTTGCTCTATAAAAGTCCCTGGAAGAGACAGCTTCCTGGGCAACCCACTCAGGTGTCCCTTCTGTCCCTCTCAGACAGGTACTTTCTTTCCCCCAATAAATATGTTCTGCTCTTAACCTCTGTTCCTAAAATTCATTCTTCAGTTTTAGAGAACATGCACTCGTCCCAGATACCCTTCGGGTTGGCAGTTTCCCCTGTATGAGAACAGCAGTCAGGGGACAGTGATGACAGAGCAATGACGTGTCACCATGGTCATGCTTTCTCATTGCCTCCTGGAACAATCCGAGACATAGGAAGGGTGGGGCCCTTGCACAAGAGAGGAAAATTTCGGCCCAGGTAGCGTAGTGACTTGCGCAGGGTCACACAGTGACGATGGCATCAGTGCTTCTCCCACCAGGCCTCTGGCTGTCTGTGAGGTGGGGCTGCCCAGGTCACCCAGGGGACAGTGCAGAGCCATGGTGCACCTGGTGCCCCAGTGAGGAAGGTCCTCCTGGTTACACCAAGGCAGCCCAAGTCTTCCCTCTGCTGCCCTCTCCTGGACCTAGGCAAGAGGGACATCCTTCCTGCTGTCACACAAGACTGCCGCCTGCCCTACGCAGTAGTGTCCACATCACCTGCCCACCAAGCCCCCTACCAAGTCACCCTCCTGACCACGATGCTTCCTCTTCCAACCTGAGGGCTGAGACCAGGAATGCCACACTGTGCTCACAGGCTACCCCTGTCACTGCAGGCTGAATGCTGTCCCTCCAACAAAGAATCTGATCAGTACCCTGCAGCCTTGGCCACTGGACTCTGGTTGTCAGTCTGGATGGTAGAGATTGGATCTGAGCTAGAGGAAGCAAGCAGGTGGCAGACTCCAGGACCACCAGATTCTGACCAGAAGCTGTGAGGTCCCCTTTCCTAGACCCCACCTGGACCCCTCCTCCAAGCTGCAACCAGCCCCTAGTTGTCCTCACTGTGTCCCTCATGAGCCTACTTTCTCAGGGAGGAAAGGTTGACCTACCTTATTCTGAGCCAGTGTTGGCCCCAGATGGAATCTATGGGCCGAGTGAGAGACCCTGAAAGAGGCCGCTGGACTCTCACTGACCTAAGGAGTTCAGACATGATGCCAGGGCATGTGAAAGTTGGGGAGGGGGAGCCCCACATTCAGCCACTGAGGGGGCAGGGTGGTGGTAGGTAGCTTCCACACCCAGCGCAGCTCTCAGAAATCCTCAAGGTGAAGGAAAATAAAGGATAAAGAAATGAAGACGAGAGTCAGAATGCAGAAAGCTGGACCAGCAAGAGAGCTCAGCGGACTAAAGCACCTGCTTAGACAGGCTTAGACAAGCCCAGGGACCATGGTTCTATCCCCAGTACCCCATGGAGCACCAGCCCTGCCTCCACAGCAGGCTGAGCCTGCCATGCACACACACACGTACACACACACACACACACACACACACACACACACACAGAGAGAGAGAAAGAGAGAATACAGAAAGCTGAGGCCAGATGGAGCTGCCTCAACCACCAGCTCATTTTTTTGTACAGTCTTCAGGTTAATGTCGTGTGACACCTTTCTGTTTGCTTGGATTCCCTCAGGCTCCCAGAGTGCTCTAGACTGGAGCAGCTGGGTCACATGGTTTGCCTCGAGCGCGCTTGTTCTCTGGACTGCCCTGGCTCCAGCCCCATGCCTGTGTGTATCTCTAGCTGCAGCTGCTCCTCACATCTCCTCCTTTTCTGGATCCCAAGCAATGAGTGGTCAGATGAAGTTGGAGGAGCTCTCTCTGAGGACTCTGCAAAAGGCCTTCTCACCTTGCATCCTTTCCACACGGAGAGAACTTACACACTTAGGCTACAGATTCACAGCCTGAGAATTTCAGGTCCCTGTACACAGCAACTTGGCCCTACACAGGCCATTAACCCATAACAGTAGGCAGTTCCCAGTATAGCTGGACATTGTCAGAAGGTACTAGTGATTTGAGTTTCTTTTATAGCTAGCATATTCCTATGGCATTATTTTATGTTCCTCGTAGTTATGCTTTTTTGCTGAATGTTCAAGACCAAGTTAAGGTGAGACCTCTATTAATTAAAACTTATTCATTGTTATCTATTAAGGTCATTTAAATTTCCAGGATTTACCTTGGATCGTGCATAGGAACTTTTAGCTATCCGGTCAGTATCAGCCATTGCTTGGCCAAGTTGCTTTCTGTGGAAGCTGGAGAGATTTTTCTCTCTTGGTGACTGTCTTTAGGCACACTGTACATCACTGATCACTCTCCTCTGCGGTCCCACAGACTCCTTGCTCAGGAGTTTGTAGAACTCACCAGAGTTGTAGGATGTCACTAAAACATCCCCTCATGTCCTGGGTCTTCACTGACCTTGAAGGGCTGGGACCAAACATTACACATCCTCCGACTCCATCTATCTTTCCAGGCTTTGGTCTCCAAACCTCAGTTGTTCAACATCCAGAAGAGAAGGTTAATGACATTACACTGTAATGGGAGCTGTGAGCTTAATATTATACAAAATAGAATGATTATTTCTTACCAACCATGAATGTTCTAGTATTTGAGTCCCTGTAGAATGTAGACAACAGTTATGTATTTTATACAGAAAGTTAGAAATCAAAAGCCACATATAATATTATAGCGTGTATCATGAGAATCATGGCAACACTTTTGTAGCACACCTGAATTTCCATTTTGACATAAAGTCGCCCCGTTAATGAATTTCCCCATCTAGCACATAAGAAGCCTTTACCTAACTCATTGACCTTTAATGGGATGTACATCACACACGCCTTTGTTAATATTACTGACTGGTGTCCTCGT